CAGTCTGTATCCTGTGTACAAAGACTTTCATTCCCCTGAGCACTGAAGTATACTGGAACTTTCATCAGATGAAAAAAATACCTTTCTGTCAGCAAAATATTTCCTTCAGGGGTAATGGGGGTGACAGAAGAATTCACTGCTTAACCTTCTGTATTTATTGCAGAGGAAGACTTCCCCCCTCGCCCCCCCCCCTCCTTACTTCTATGTTCTGTGTCTGTTAAAAAAATAGGGGACAATATGATATCGGATTATAGTTCATTAGCATCAGCTTCATTGACTTTGCAGTTCAGGCCATGAGTACATATTTAGCAAGAGAACGGTTTAACTCATGTTAACCAGTTATTTCCCTATACCTCCTGCCAGGACTGGATGCCATCATTGTGCCATTGAATTTTCTTCAGCAAGGTATCTGTCCTTCACAGACTTTGGACAATACAGATGTGGAAATGAATTCAGATATGTTTGCAATTGCTAAGAAGAAGTGATTGAAGAGCAAATAACATTCCTTGCTAGCTTTAATTTAGCTAATACAGGTAAAAATAGTGGTAGAGACCCATTCTGGCTATTAATATGCCACACTGCCTACTAACTAAACACAAGGTAATTGGGGTCTCTGGTAGCCTGCCTAAGTTGAGATTTATGCACTTGGATAGGTTGCCAATTTTCAGTTTCTTGTAACAACAGCAAAATTAGACTAACCAAGAGTCTGTCTTGTGTAAAACTAGCTTATGAGCAGGTTGATCATTCACAGTGAACATGGATCTATCTGATAACAAACATGCAAATACAATTGCTTTTGCCTTTTGTTTCAAAAATCCCCTGCATAGACTTTAACATTATCTCTTCCATGCTGATGAACCCCATATACTAGATGCAGTCTAACACAGTGTCCTTTCGTAAGACATGGTCCCCAGCTGCAGGTGAACATCACAGTTTATTGCCATCTGCATGTATGTCCCACCTGACAGACCTTCTGGCCTGTATAGCTTATAAATGTAGTATAGCTTAGACATTGCTTTATTCATGTCTCATTAAAGGTATTTATTCCACAGTTTGGGACTGTGCCTTTTGTTAGCCACGACCGTGGCAGATGTCCCTTCTGTTGCAGAGAGAGGATGTGAGAGAGGGCATGCTCAGAGAGTGGTACCCTTGGTACTGATGAGTGATAATCCAGAATTACTGATGAATAGACATGCTTTTGTCATTTTGATTTCACCTTTCAGCAAGGTGTGAAAATGATGGGGGAGGGAGGGAGGCTATGTCGTTAAATGTTTTTTGGTAGTAAAACCTGAGTGTTAGCCTTGTATGTGCTCTAGTGAGTTAGCAGCATGTGCACACAAAAAAATTTGGGTTTCTTTTATGAATGACTGAAATTCCAGTCTTACCTGGCACAAGAGTAAGTTTCACATAAAGAACAGTCTCTGAGGAGAGTTTTTGAAAATAAGTCAAAAACCTGAGAGACCATAAAAATTCTGAGAATTGGAGATGTGACAAACCACGTTGCCCAGCTTTATCTTGGCACAGTTAGGATATGAGTCTGATCCACAAAATGCACAATCCTAGACAGATTCCACAGCTGATATTCAAACACCCATGTAAGCTCTCCATAGGTGTGTCTATACTGGCAATCATGAGCTGATTTCTACAAGCGCACAGGCCCTTCTTGCTTGTGAAATGTTATAATGTGCAGACTGCACCTTCATTTAAGCAAAGCAGCACTTTTATCATCTTATGTCTTTTTTCCCTTACAAATACTATCTCAGCTACACTAACGTAGTTTATGGTACCTTCATGCCTCAAAGATCTATCTCATCACAATAAATAATTCAGGATAAAATGCATCTGATAACCTGGAGAAATAATTCTTGGAGCTGTCCTTCACTTTACCATCCATATAGCTTTCACAATCCATGCATATTCCAAATAATTGCATCTTACTAAGTGTACGTGAAGTGTATCTTTCAAATACCTCTCTGTGCCCCAAATCTTCTCAGCCTCTCTACTTCAAACTTATAATATACCCTCACTCATCACTTCTGTTCCACACTGAGCCATTGTGATCACTTCTAGTGCAACTCATGATTTCTCCTTATCCTCTGACCAAACCGTTTTTTGTGCCAGTAAGCTCAGGGGGTGAATGTGTCCTGCTGTGTCTACATAAATTCATCAAATTCAGCTGGCTCTGAGGAGCACGTAAAAGCATGTTGAATGGGTTTAGACATTTTAAAGAGGAAAACTTGTGTTTCTTACTGTGAAATCTCCCCACAGTAGTGGCTTTTACCACATCAGAATGCTTCTGTCTCAGCCGTTTTGTACCCACGGAATGTAACGTGGTCAGCAAGTAAGATGTGGGAAGTAAAAAAAAAAAGCAAACTAAAAACCAATGGATGAATCACAGCAAGATGGGTTGAATAGAGAAAGACATCTTAGAAGCCTCTTGTAACTAGAGCTGTGCAATTTGACATCCATTTACCAAGACGAGTCATCTAACACCTACTGATTCACTTGTTTTGCTGTAAGAAAAATGCCTTATAACACATGCCTTGTACCACGTGCGTACCCTTTTGGGTGTGCAGCTCTGGTAGGGAATGTAACCTAAAGTTGTTGCCAGCAGATAGCTGATACATGAAATATCTGACTTCTTCACAGCTGGTAACTGAGCCATTGGTCACCTTGCCAAAATTACCACTGTGGTGACATCTATACAGGCACAGCCAACAGATTGTAAATTAAGTGAGCAGCTGAGGCAGTGATATTTGTATCCATGTTCTATGTGGTTATGAGTGAAGACCCATATCATTTTTGAAAGCTGGAGGAAGAGGTAACACAGTCATTTTGATATGAGGTGACAACTCAGGCTGAGATGCATTGCTCTGTGGATAAGTAGGAAGACTGTTTGACAGAAGTTACTCAGTCTGGAAAGTTTAAGCATTTCCTGAGTATAAGGACCTAGAGAAAGAAAGACGTAAGTTAAAGAGGCTGGAGGGCCATATCTTACACATATACTATAAAATGGAGAAAAGAAGAGCTAGGACTGCAGTAGAGAGTATTGTAATTAATTTTTTGTGTGTGTTTTCAATTGTCTGGAGACAAGATGAAGGAGAAGCAATGTGACCAAAACAAAAAAGTCCTCCCACAAGAAGATACAGTGACAAGGCAAAAAGGAAGTAGGAGTACACAAAGCACAAAAGGATTTTGCAAGAGAACAGTCTTGTTGAGAACAGCCATGGATGGCATGTTGGAGATGATGAAAACTGAACTGAGGATTGACTGAAAGGTATTTAGAAAATTTGGCACATCGCTCTGTGGTCTAGGGTACAGAAACTAGGTTGGAGAGGTTTTAGGATGGATGTTGAGGATTCTAAGTAATTAATTTAAACATTCTGTTTACTAACCTGGGGAATGAAAGCCGAGAGGGAGAAGAAGCAGATAGAGATGCTAGAGAGACAAAGTCAGGAGATGTGAAAAATTAAAGCAGGATAATGAAAGGAAGGGTTTATTGTGCTTTCTTGTCCTCTTTGGAAATTTACATTATGGTTTCAAGCAGAGGTCAATATATGGTAGGCTCATTGCCACTGCTTTTGCTTGACTGAAGAAGGCTGGTTGCTGGTTTCCTTTGCCTGACTATGATTTGTGACTGTGAAACATCACACACAAACATGCTTTAGTTCTTTTCTTCATTTAGATCTTCTCTCCCGGAGGGCTAGTTTGTTTGTCTTCTCCCTCAGTGGTTTGCCACTGACGTGACAAACAGCACTGTATGCGGGAGAAGCACAAGCATTAGAAACACAGAAATTGGAGATGGAAAATTCCACTGTAAAAGATCAACTAGCCCACTGTGCTTGGTAAGCCAAGGCATAAACAATAGCATTGGGCTTATTTAAAATACCACAAGAAGTGCCTCTGAGCGACTTCTTCACCAGGTGATGGATCTTACAGCCAACAGAGCTCATCCTAATGTTTGTCATTTCATCCTGTTTTCTCCTTCTTCAAAATAATTGTGCTCTCTCACTTTCGCAAACCTCATTTGTTCCAATCTCGTGGTGCCTTATCCCTTATTTCTTATTTCTAAGTTTTACAGCTTTGCATCTTGTATCTCATGCACAGCACAACCAGCTGCATTCAGCTCTGTCAGCTGTCTCTTAATCAGTACTTACAACTTCTACTTTGTTAAGATGAATTCCTTTATATTTGCTAATGTCTTTCTGATGAGGTTTTCAGGACAGAATGCAATATTCTATTGGGGCATATGAGAACCGTTAGGTCATGACCTGAACCAGTGATTGAGCACCTGTTGAAGGGGCGTAGCCAGCCCTGAAAGCACAGGTGCAAACAATTCACCGGTATGACTGGAAGGGTCCACCTGTGCAACTCAGGGTCCACCCTTCCCTAACCTCATTTAAAGGCTGGCAGCTAAGAGGGAAGCATTTCAGCTTGCAGATTGCCTTATTTAGGAGTTTTCAGTGAGTACTGACCTTGGAAAGGGGGAAGTCATTCCTTCTTTATTACTATATTGTGACTGCTATGCTTCTTAGGTGATCTAAAACTGGTTAAAGGCAACTATATTTTCTGTCTCCTATGCTTATGTGAGGTTGTGCTACAGTACCACCAACAGAGGTCTTTGTTGTAATTCTTGTTTATGAAGTATACTTTCTGATTGTCTCTCTGATTGTATTTGTTTGTTCCTGCTAATCTACCCATCATCTCATCTTACAGATATGTCTAACTTACTGTATGCTGTTCTGTTATTTTAGGTGCCTTTAGTATTAGAGCTTTTGAGAATCCTCCTTCTGAATGAGTAGCTTTTGATTTGAATTATTTCTCTCTAAATGTGAAATATGTTTTCCCCAACCTACCCAATCCCCCAGAGGAATTGCAGTTTCCTGAACCTCATTTGTGCCAGAGGTTTGATTTGTAAAACTAATGAAGTTCTCTCAACCCTGCAACTTAAAGACATTTCCCTCCCTTTCTCTTTTTGAGCTTGAAATCATAACAGAAATGCTCAGTTAAAGGAGAAAAAAAAAAATTTGTAGGAAGTTTTTAAGCTTTGTAGCATCTCAAATACATAGAGTTTTCTCTTCAGGTTGTAAAGAAAGAGGTGAAAGAAACTGCTGAACAACTTTCCTAGTGTTTGAGCTAGGATAGGAGGCTACAATTCACAGCTTATTCCTAGCTATCTGCCCCACACTCTTTAAGTTAACCTCAAGTGTAACTTCTCCCTAACTCTTTCCTATTAAAACCATCCACTTAAACTGAAGTTGTGTTTTTTTTTTTTTAACTGCTTGTATGTGCTCTCTTTCTTTTGCTCATTTGACAACTAGCAAATATCTGCTATTCCAGCAGATGGAAATGGAAAGAGATCTTTGGACAGAATAAGAACAGATTGAAAGATGGTGACTATCGAATGTGGTTCAGCTGCAGCTCTCAGCCCCTTGAAAACTGGTGCTAGAATTAGAAATGCTCTTCAGGCGTTATGGTTCTCCTCATTGCCCTGCTAGACCATGCTGTGTGTATTTTGTTGGGTTTTGTTTCTTTGTGTTTTTTTCCCAGAACTCATTTCTAAGAAGCATATGATGCTGAAGACCTGTCAGATCACACAGACAAAGCGAAGGCTATATGCCATGGATTCTTCCCATCATCGAGTGCATTATAAAACAAGCCAATTAAAGGTCACATTTGTTAGTCACAACTTTTGTGGTTTGGCTCTTAGTGAGCAGCAGGCTATGTGAGAGCAGGACGTGTGTATGCTCAAGGCTGTCTTGCAGTAAAGTGCTGTGGAGAGGATGTGTGGTGTCAAAGCAGAGTGTCAAAAACAAAATTAAGGCTGTAGCTATTTCTCACATATCCGTTCAATATAAACATTTGTAGCAGCATCTTTGATGTTGTCCATTTGCTTGCTTTTCAGTTCTTTAAGACAATGCTGTAGAATTGACAAGGCCGAAGAGACAATTCCTTGCACACAAACAGAACAGCAGTCTGTAGCACTTGTTGGCTCCGATGCTAAGAACAGACATTTGTGAATTATCACTTGTCTATGGTTTCTAAAGAAAGTTCTGTGCTTCCCACATTCTTTTCTTCTTGGTGATCTCACTAAAGCTAAAAGTAAAAATGGAGCTGCTGAAGGTCACTTTCCTCATCCATCAATCTTACAGATAAGCCTTCTTACTAGATTTTTTTTTTTAAACTGCAACTCTGTCTCACTCAGGTAAGTGAATTTACCTATTTGTAGAAGTTAAGTGTGTTGTTTAAAGCAGTACCTTTTTGGAATCAGCTGAGGTGTACAGACTTCTCCAGAGGGTAACTTCTCCTAATGTAACACAGCTGTCTCCTAATGTAACACAGGTGAGATGAATTTGCTCTGAACATGCCTTCCTCTGCACTAAAGAAGCCTGGACAAAGTATGTTGATTACAAGAGGTTTTGTATGTTCTCATCTAGCCAGAGTGCTAGGTAAGATGAAATTCCACTGGAAGACTTCAATCTTCCTCTTGTGGGCTAATGTTTCTACTTGTCTTGCTTGTCTGTCCTTGCTGTGTATTCAATCTTCCCAGTACCTATGCTCTTGCATGAGATAACTGGAGCCTTCACTGTCAGTGATAAGGACTCTCTTCTTTCCACAGAGCTCCTTCCTAAAGATGCAGTTACAGAGGAAACCATCTTCTTCCCATCACAGTGGCAGCAAGTCTCTTCGCCTCCTTCTTTCATTTTCTCCCATAAGAAGTCCAACCACAAACCAGGATGGTCATAGTAAGTTTGTGCTGTGGGAATGGTGTCTTGAACTTGAGATCCACTGGTCTGGTGAGCAGCTCTCCTCTCCTAAACCTTAAGTTACAGACCTCTGCATATTTGGTTGTCTGTCTCACACCTGACTCATTCTCAGGCTTTGATTCATAACCATATGAGTTTAAATCTGGGGAAATATACTGGCTCCTGTCTTGTTTTTTGTTGATTTTCTTTTTTTATGCTAAACACAGAACTTGCATGTTCATGTTATGTTAGATGCTGAGATCTGCTCTATGGTCTGTACTGGTTTGACCTGAATACTTACTCCTCCCAAAACTTTCCTATTTTTTCTTGCAATATTTCTCTCAGAGCACAGCACTGACCAGGTACATCAAGTCACCATTTGCTAATGTGTAACCTTTTTTGAATTTTTTGCTGGCTCATGAAGAACATTTCAACTGTGATAAACCGCTTGAGCCTTGCTTCTCCAGTTGCATAGCATCTTTAGTTTCCTGGCTAGATTGTGACCCACAGGTTGAAGACCACCACTCAAACTCTGCTTCTGCAATGTTTTTGTTGAGGGATTAGCAAATGTTGGCTTGAAAAGCAGATGCAGAACTAGTGGTAGTGCATGCTTTCAATTGTTAGTAGATAACCAGATAACTATTCCAGCACATAAAATTTAGGTTTATCAACTGTCGTCATAGATTTCATCCTTCTGGGACAAGAAGCATGTTTTTGTGTGTTCATAGCCTGCAAGTTTCAGGTACTGATTTTTGTGTTCTTAAGAGTAAATCCTATTTGTGTTCCTCTAGCAGTAAGAATAGGCAGTAGGTAAGGGTTACAGTGCCTTGGTGAGGCTTTGTTTTAAACATCTAGATTTGAAAAAGGAGAAACAGAATCACATGTGGAGAGTGATGTCCTCTGAGCTCTCTAGGACCATCTCCAGCACAGCTTAGTGTGAGAGGATCTGTCCCGGCATGAGTTGATGTGCGAGCACAGCACTTCCAGGGCAGCAGTTGCTTTTCTAATGTTAGGACCAGACTCAGTTGTAAAATGCTGATTTCTTTTAAAAACCAGTGCATTGGGTTACCAGGCACCAGCAGTCCTGTGTGCTAATGAATTCCTAGAACTCTCTTACCCTCTTAGAGAAAATGGCTCTGTTTTAACAATGTAAATGTCATCTTCCCGTGTTTCAAGGACTCAGCTCCTTCAGTGGAACTTCAAGTAGCTCTCCTCAGATTTGTGTGACTGCCTGATAGTACTCATACATGCGATGTGACTGCAACTCATTGTGGCTTCTTAATCTCGTGAAGGTTTCAGCAGCTTCCTGTCCGATACTTGCAGCAGAAAGTGACAGCTGAACACCGCGCGGGGCTGAGGCTGTCGGAGCGTCCTTGAACCGTAAGGTTAACATAAAACCCGCCCTAGCTTTAGCGGCACATCCAGCGCACCCGCGCCTCGAGTTTATGGGCCGCGAGGAGCAGTCCGTGTAACGCGGCGCTAAGGAGGGTTCCGCACACCGGCTCGGGCTGGTGGCAGCCGGGCTGGGGCCGGTAGCAGCCTCAGCATCCCCGGCCCCTCGGGGTCAAGGGCCTCCGAGCCCTTCCAGTGCGTCCCGTCGTTTGCTTTCTCTAACGGCCGGAGGGATTTACTCTTTCCGACCCACCGAACTGAGGCGGGGTCTGTGACCGGGGGGAGCAGCGCCCGCAGCCCCAGGGCGGCTCGGCTCGGCCCGGCCGCCTTTGTCTGCGCTGGGAGGAGCCAACGAAAGGCAGATTGTAAAAAAGAGAAAAAAAAAAAAAAGGCTGGCCGAGAGCCAGGAAGCGTGGAATCCTGGCCGGGTGGTGGCAAATTTCGCCAGATCGCGGCCAGAGGCAGCGCGTTCTTCAGCCCGCGGCGGGGCGACGGCGAGAGCGGAGCTGAGCGAGGAGCGGAGCAGCGGCGTTTGCTGCCGCCCTCCTCGCAGGGCGGCGGCGGTGAGTGCGAGGGGAGAGCCGGGCCGGGCTGCCGGGTTGGGGGCTCAGGCGCGGGGGAGTGGGGCTGGTGCGGGAGGATGTGGCTGGGGCGGCCCGCGAAAGGCACCGGGCTCAGCCCTCGTCCCTCCGAGGCAAAGCGCCGGCATAAATCCCGAGCAAGTTTTCCATTTGGAAATATTAAAAATAGCCCCTCCGGTTCCGTAGTGCCGCCGAGTGAGTCATTTCCAAACCAAATGTGTCCGCCTAACCCTCCCCCTCAGAGGACACAATAATTCTGAAACCGAGGGTGAAGGGAAGGAGACTTTTCTCCTCCGCTGAACAGACCGAATTAACACGTAGCCGCTGCGAGTGGAGAAAAAAGCCACAAGCGGCGGGCAGCCCGCTTAAAGGAGCGCGGTACAGCCCCGTCCCTTTCTCTCCTTGCCCTGCGGTGGTACCACCTGCGTTTCCCTGCAAGGCGCCGGGAGCCTCCCTGCCCGCTCACAGCCGCGTGGACAAACCCCACTGTTTTTTTCCTTCAGCTGTCAGACCCTTCCTATGTCACCTCTGTGGGACGTCAGCCACAGCCATGGGTCATGCCACGCTTCTCCTGGCTGTCTATGCTGAGAAGTGCAGTCTAAAACACGGTTATTTTTCTGTCTTTCCCGGTCATATGACGATTTGTTCAGAAGTGGGCTGTCTCGAGCAGAGGGATTTTTTGTTTGTCAGCAACAAGTGCTGAGCATATTTATAGAGAACGCTGCAATTCTGTATTGTAGAAGGCTTCGTTTATGCAGAGCTACCTGGATCTGCATCTGAGCGCTAATTGCATCTTTTGTATGATGCCGTATGTACATGTGTATTCTAAATATATGTCCATGGCTCTTATTTCACAGTGAGGCAGCATGCCTTAGCTATAGAAGCTGATGTGCAGGCTGTGTTTTTCTTCTAAAGCAGGAGCTACTGTCCTAATGATGTAGCTGGACTAGCAGAGAAAAGGCTTGCTAAACTGCCCATCTTTACATTAGGAAGCACCTAGCTAGGGGCAAAGTCCTGTCCTTTGACTCCTAGGAAGAACTAAGCTAGCACTCTGGCAACAAAAATGACATATAGCTGAAAATATGCGCTGTAAGTTATGCCAGCTATTTCACAGCCCTGTGAAGGATGTGAAGTTTGAGAGCAAGATCTGTGGTAGCGACCCAAACCTAATGCTGTTTCTTGGTAAGTAGAGAACTGTGATGTAAAAGTGCTTGCATTCTCTTTTTGCTGTTTAGATTCAGTTTCTTCTATTAATGCTATTTATATATTTTACAGCCAGGGGAGGCTATTATGATTTATTGACTTGTCACGTAGGGTGCAGGATACTCAGACATTCCTGCAGTCTGCAGTGTTTCTTTTAGCTCTAACACATAAGAGACTCATCCACTTAAAAGCGCAACAGAAGTACCAAACTGGAAAAAGTAAATATCAATCTTTTGTGTTCCAGAACACAAGAAAAAGCAGACACAGTGTCCCATGAGAATGAAAACTTGTCTGTAACCCAAGACACATTATGCATATTTCATTGTTAATGTATGGTGTTATTGCTAAGTTTTTAGTGCCATGGACTTCTATAACATCCTGGAGGGAAGAAAATACTTCAACTCGAGTCCAAAACCAGCTGCTTTTTGGTGAAACTTGGAAGAAACTTTTCCAGCGGTCTGTTATTCCATAGTTGTTTCTGTGGTTGTCCTGAATCTCTGACTGATGTAACTGTCAAGCTGCACTGAGACCTACACCAATGGTTTGCAGTGCTGGAGGTGGAGAGGGATGTTCAAGCAGACAGTTCCATGTGGGACTATTATTTTCTATGTCAATTTAGCAGTACTGTTTCCTTTTGGTAATTCTACAGCAGACTTCAGGTGACAACTCAGTTGTACATCACATTCATCTTTGGTCTTTAAAATTCTGTTTAAATACTTTAAATAAGGTTATCCGTGATGATTTTCTTGCAGTATATTTACAGACTGTCTGATATCTGCTCAGAGTCTGATAAGACTTCAAAGATTTGCTTTCAAAGCTCATCTGGAGCGCAGGTAACATCTACTGACTCCTCAATTCCTTTTTTGAAGAATTTAAATTCCTTGCATTGCTAGCAGTGATAGACACAGAATAGGTGTAATAATTCTCACTTAAACTGATAAATTAATATAGGTAGCTTCCATTTTTATGGAAGGAACAGAGGCATGAGACTTGAATAGATCATTGAAAGCTTGGAAGTAGCAAGGAAGTAAGCACTATAGGGTTTATCTTTTATACTCAATCAATGTGTTCAGTTTTCTTATGTTACTTTCCAGGCTTCTGAAGGTTTTTTGTTTCCCTCGCACATAATGCATGGCCTTTTGTCCTCACTGTTTCTGCTGGTGTGAATTCAAGCATGAATATACATTGATTGAATATGTGCTGGACTCCAGAGCTTATTCAGTAGGGCATAACAACCTGTTCTTCCATTAGATAGAGCTAAGTGTAACTTAGAGGGTGGAAGATTGCGCTGAAGACTTCAGCAAACGCCCTGTGATACCAGAGGTGGCTGAGGCTGGGCTACAGTGTAAATCAGGCTGCTCAACTGCTGTGTTTTGTAGCCCGGGGTTATTAAAAATAATGGGAAATGTGAAAGGAGGGAGAAAAAGGAGTATATATGAAGTGCATGAAAACAAAGATGATAAATTGTCATTCTGCTTGAAGCATAGGTGGTTTCTAAAATCATTGCAGTTGTGACATTTTGTTTGATCTTGACAAAGTTTATCTTGTCAGCTTTCTGATTAACATTACTAGAAAAGTAAAAACGTCATTATGGTCAGATTGATACAGATTTTTGCTTCTGAATCTGTGTTCTACTTCCCCATCCCATTTTTTTGTTTAATGGATGACCTTCATCCTGGTGTGTTTAAGAAAGCATTACTGTGGTTCTCCTTTATCTGTTCTCCTCTAGTAACTTTAAGAATTAGTGAATTTTACTGCAGTTGACCAAGGAAGAAAAAGTCAGAAAGGATAAAGTTTCTCTAAGCTTTGTGAAAACATTTTCAG